TCAGTAGAGCTGAGGTTAGTAGTGAGATAGTAACACAGAGTATAGCAAAGGAGTACCAAAATGCCAGGACCACCAGCTTCTTGACTTTGTCTGTTAAATCCATATGAATTTACTCATGGTTCTGTTTCCAGCAGTATAAATCTACCAGCTAATTTAAGCAGAAAGAACTCATTAAAAGAATATTAAGTAGATCACTAACTCTCCAGGAGATTCTGAAAGCCTGTCCCAAGAGCTCCCCGCCAGGGGCAGAGGACCACAGTCATGGCAGCCCCCTGGCCTGCTGAAGGTGCCCACAGACACCTCCCAGGCTGCCTCTAGAATTGCTGCTACTACTGCCTCTGCAGATGGTGGGCACCGCTGTTGCTAGTTTCACCATTTCCTGGAATTGATTCTGTGCTTTCGCTGCTGCTTCTGGTATCTAGCTTCCAATCAGGTCTGGGTGTCTCTGAGTCAGAGGGGTCTGCCACCTCAAGAGGAGGGGAATTCCCTAACACAGGCAAAGGTGCATCTGCATAACACTCCTAACAACCATCTTCTACTGGTGGGGTCTGCAGACAGGCATTCACCTGTGAACTGTGCGACCCGATGGCAGAGACAAGTACAGAAATCAAGAGGAATCTTTCAGAAACATTTGACACAGAGGTTTAGGCTTAGGTCTTATATATCTTACTCCCATGTTTATTTCATTTTTCTAGTAATTCATTTTTACTGATTTTGCAGAAGTATTAGTCTGTGATGGGTTAGAAGCAAAAAACTGGTCTTTAACATAGAATTTAAAGAGCACTACTTCTTACTATTTATATACATTGGTTTGTAATGTTTGCTTAGTAAAATAGATTCCGAATCATGTAGGTCAAGAAAAGTTTTATCTTTTCATTTAATAATAAAAAATAATATACTGAGTACTTATTCAACCCTATCTCTGATGCATGCTCATCTAAACCTTACTATCCAGTGAGGTTGGTACTATTTCTATTCGTTCTGAAGGTGAGAAAACTAATCAACAGAGAGACTAAGTAACTTTCCACGCAGTCTGTTTTCAGGAAGTTTACTTTACCCACCAAGTCACACTACTTCTTGCATGGAGGCCCCTACATAAAGGCAGACAGGAGGTAACCTAATAGTATCATTCACTGTCAAAAGTTGTCCTTTTGGGGGCCAGATTCAATATTTCTCTGAGTAATCAAAGACAATGGTTTGTAGAATAGATGATTTTATTATTTTGCTGGATTTGTTATTGTTGTTTCCAAATTCGAGCATGTTCATTTTGTTAATCCTTTTTATTTTTTGCAGAGATCATGTAATTCTCTATCAAATTATATGTAATTCTTCACTGAGACTTAAATTCCAGGGATGTCTCTGTTCTCCCTCATATAGAAAGTGGAGCTACTGAGCATAAGATCCCATAAGATAGACGAGAAGCGCTCACTCCAGGCCATCTACTGCTTCTGGCTACAGTGGCCCATCAGGAGGAGTGTACCTGTGCCTGAGGGGCCAGGGCCAGGAGTGGCACTAGGTGTTCTTGTGGGACCCCGTCCAGGCTGGTGTCTGAGTGCAGAGCTTTCCTGGGCATCGGACTTGTCTAAGGTGTGGCCATACAAGTCAGGAAATGTCTGCTTTCATGACCAAGAATCAGACCAGCTTCCCATTCTGTAAAAACAGCCAACACGTCTGTAAAACCCACGATTCAGACCTGGCAGAAGTCTGTACAGAACCAGAAATACATCAACGCTCTGACGAAGGCAGTATTGGCAATGAATCCCGTGAAGTCAAATGGCATGTAATGCCGTTAAGTCAGTCTCGTCTCAGTCTATTCCCCATTAGAAGGAAATTACTCTGTGGTCACAGAACTGCTTTTTCTCTTTGATCAAAGCCCTGAGGTGAAACTATTGAGTTTGCAGAGCAGAAATAACACAAACGTGGGTGGGATCTCCAGGCAAGGCCGTTCTTCTGAAGCCTAATACAGCTCCAATCTGAGAAATGTATGTTTAAAAATAAGATAGCATTTTACTGAACATATGTATTATAAACCAAATGATTTTTTGATATGTCAGTCTAGTCATTTTTTAAAATCAATACAGTAAGGCCTAGCCTGCCCTCTCTTCATCTCAGACACATTATCATGAATGTGCCACCAACTCTCAATGGTTGAAAACTTCGGTGTAATTAAAACCATCCTTTCCACATTTATCATTCACATGTTACCATGTACTCTTCAAGCACTTGACGTACGATAAGAAACATGCAGATCTTGTATCGATGTTTCCAGTGTTGGCGTGACTGTCTCGGTGCAGAGTCTGACAGAGCTCTGTGACAGGGCAGGAAATGCAGATAGATGCACATTCCCAAGTATTTATTCATGACAGGACAGTTTTAAGGTTTAATTTGTTATTGTTTAGTTTCTGGTTTTTCCCAGAAGAGAAAACCCTACCAGTGTGTCCTACTCTTATTTAAAATAGATCATGAGATACTCCATGGTTTTTAAACCCATGTAGAGGAAAGCTATTATTCACCAAACAAGGTTTCCCACACGTTGGTCTCTCATCTCAAGTTATATGCATAAGAGCTTTTGGTTGTAAGAAATGGGTTGTATAGCCCCACACTTGGCACTGTGAACTCACTCATCACTTTATAGGTGGTGAGACAGGCATCCTTTTGTTGGAAAGACTTGGGCAATAATCCTAGATGTGGTCTTGGGTATATTTCCTTAAGTCCTAAATCAATGCTGGCCAAATTGCCACTTTTGTTGGTTATTTGTTGAACATCTGGAGACAATTTTTCAGTGGGTGGCAGAGGACAAGAGTATGTGGCGAGAACCTTAAAACTAATTAAATCCTAAGACCCATCTATTTTTGAGAGACTACTCCAAGTAAAGATCATCTGTTTGTAAATACCAAACTATCCCCCAGAATGTATTATACAGATTAAAGTAGAATTAACTACTTAATTAATGCAAATAGAATTAGTTTTGTACATAAAAGGTAATAATTACACATTATATATCTTGATTATCTATTATTTTGCTGCTGAAAAGAAAAAGAAAAACTGGCTCAAATCACAATCGCCTTATAAATGAATTTAATATATAGTTAAAAGTATCCAATTCAAGTTGTCAATAGAAAACAGACACAATTCAGTTAGCATAAACAGTCTAAATCATTGGGAACATTTTTATCATTTTAATTATTGTTAATTTAACAGATTCTAGAAAAAGAAAAGTGGTAAAATTCCAAATAAAATACCTCCCCCCACCAAAAAAAAAAAAAAGGGGGGGGGGAGGAAACTTGCAATAAATTGTATATGTACATGTTTACCCTTTAAAAAAAAAAATTGAATCTACCTATGAATGATGGAAACTGTTTTTAGAATGGTGTATGGGCTACTGATTGCTGTATAACAAATTACCCCCAAAATGTGGTGGCTCAAACAGCAGCTTTTGTTATCTCATAGTGTCTGTGGGTCAGGAATCGGGCACTGCTCCTGTAACAGACAGCTAACAGGTGTCAGCTGGGCTTCAGTCACATCAAGGCTTGACAGAGGGCTCCACTGCACACTCACTCAGGCCCGTGGCAGGACCCAGTTCCCTGCAGGTAGACTGGGGGTTCAGCTCCTCACACGCTGTTAGCTCGAGACCGCCCTCATTTTCTCGTCTCATGGGGCTCTTCATAGCACAGCTCGCACGTGGCATTTTGCTTCATCACTGTGAGCAAGGGAGAGAGCGAGAGGGAGGGCAGTCACAGTCTTCTATAGCCATCTCAGCAGTGACATCTTATCACTTTTTCCAAACTTTATGTATTAGAAGCTTGTAACTAGGGCCAGTCTACACTCAAGAGGAGGTGATTACACAAGTAAGTTAATACCAAGAGGTGAGATCATTGGGACCTACCACACACAGTGATTGGTTTCCACTTAGATGGTGACATCATGAAAGGTAGATGATCAAAGAAATACTTCAGCTCCCACAATGACTTTCCTCCAAAATGTTAAAAAAAAACACAAAAAAACAACCACATCATTGTATTTCTAGGACCTGATCCAGTTTCTTTGACCATATGTATAACCAGAACTGGGCAAGTTGAAAATCCCTATTATCATTTGTCATACATTTAAAAATGGCATTTTCTTCTTTAAAATGTATGTAAGTCAATTATCAGAAGCAAGCAAGAAGAGAGAGGCCAATCGATCCAGGCAAACAGCTGGAGTAGCCTGCACTGAATGCAGCCTGGACATGTCATGTCCCTGCTTCTGTTCCTCCTATCAGCTGAAAGAACTCTCAAGGAATCATTTTGAGCTCTGTGTGTCTGTGTGTGTGCATGTGCGTGTGCATATACTCTATGCACGCACACGTATGTGGCCATGCGGACTGTGACTATGGGAACACACTCAGGGGAAAGTGAGTGATCCTGTACATTTACCTTGCTCCTTTCTCACCATGGCCATAAAACTGGCAGAGGGACTTTTTTAAGTTGTAGAGGCCCAAATTAGCCCTGTCTCCAAAAGGCATTTCCTTTCTCTGAAGTGTGCTATTTTCTTTTTTCTCCAGTGGCAATCCCAGTGAATATTACTCAGTACATCTCCCAAGTTATATTTTGTCTTCAGATGGAGCCTAATTTCAGTGATCCCTACTCGGCCCCTTCATTATGCTGGTTTATGGATGACCATCCTGCCAGCAGGGCTTTTCACCCCATAAACCAAGAAAACCTCCACATCCCTTAATTCACAGGGTACAAGTAGTGTACACAGAGCCAAGGTGAAAATCCTTTGCTAATAAAGTAGGGTGAAACTTTGGAAGCTGCATGTGTGTTTGCCGTGTGTGTGCATGTGCACGTACCCATGTGTGTCTATGACTCACAAGCACATATTTTCCAAGAGTCATGACTCACAAAACAACATTGCTGATCTAACAATTATACTCCCCCCGAAGTGATATAAAGTGCCATGAAGATTTCTTTGCATTGAGCTAGTTCACTGCGGTTCACCTTCCATTAAAAGGTGAAACTATACTTACCTGGCAAAAGAGAGATCTTGATCACAAAGGTGGGTTTCCCAGGGCAGGGTCTATCCATGCACTCGGGATATACGGACCCTGCGATTTCCCCAAATGTAAGAAACTCGACTGCTGAAAATGGCCAAACTGTGCTTTGTTTTGCTTTGGGCTGGAAAGAGGAAAAAGAAAAAGCTTAACAATTCAAGACACAGATAAATTGCTTTTTTTTAAACAAAGACTCATTGCATTTATAAACGTGGGTCTCCCATAATTTTTAAAAATCGTTTATATGTGGAGATGAGCCTTATAAACAGTGCAGCCTAGTCAAGCTATGGTTTTTTCCAATTAAAGGACTGGACCCAACAAGACCACCAATTGTTCTGTTGTGTTTTGGAAGCTTGATCCAAGTTTACATTTCCAGCCAATGCCTCACCCCTTGTGTTTATGACAGCACAAAAGAGTTCGCCCTGGGAATTCCTCGGGGGGAGTCACGCAGTGCACTGTCACTGAGGAGTGCGCCGGAGGAAAACAAAGTAGCATGTGAAACGGGAAGCAGGAGAATGGACGATTTTTCTTCCCTTGACATTTAAATCCCAAATTGGGTTCTCCTACATATCAAAAGCGAAAATATTTTCAGTGTTTGGACATATGTAGGAATTACCAAATGGAGAGTTAAGTCTGAGAAAGTACCACAACATCAGCCGTTTGCACAGCTGTTGTTGGAAATGACTCCAAACCACCCCAATGTGTCTAGCGAATATAAATATTGACCACTTGCATTTCCTGGCTTTGTTTAGGGGTCTCCCTGAAGATAGGGTGCTAGTAAGTACCTTACCAAACACGCTTTGTATGGTACTAACTCTGCCTCCCATGACAGTTGTTGCTCTGCTATCTCCTTATAATCATGCATAAAAGAGCTCTTTTGTGGGAATTCGAAAGTATCGTGTGTGGTTATTTTGGTAAACTCAAGAGGATTGACTGTGCGTTAGTGTCTATGAAACTATTTTAAATACACATGCGCTCTTCCAATGAAGAGAGGAGGAAATGCCAATGTTTAAAAGCAAAAGGTTACATATTCTGGGATTCCTTGTCCCCTGATGGCCACTACATTTTCCCGCTGAGCACCCACCTGCTCCTCCAGGCACCTGGACACCAGACTCTACAATCGAGCCTCTGCATGTCTGACCCCATTATGGTGCCACAAGCTGTAGATGTCCCTCAATCAAAATCCCATGGCTGGACAGTCCGAGAGGTCAATTTAAAGAGATTTCATGAAGCTCGGCTGGTGTGGCTCAGTGGTTGAGTGTCGACCCATGCACCAGGAGGTCGCAGGTTCAATTCCCAGTCAGGGCACATGCCTGGGTTGTGGGCCAAATCCCCAGTGGGGGTATGCAGGAGGTGGCCAGTCGATGTTCTCTCTCATCGATGTCTCTATCTCTCTCCCTCTCCCGTCCTCTCTCTAAAATCAATAAAGAAAAAATAAAAATTTTAAGAGATTTCATCAAGTGCATTCATAGTAACTAAATCTAATTTATATTGCATTATCATCCAGAACAGAGCAATAGCTATTAATTTTGCCTTCCAAATTCTGCTGAAGTGGTTATTGTGACTCACCTATAAATTCTCCTTAAAATACTAATCTGAATGCCTCTCTGAAGCCACTGAGTTTTCCCACTATGAATTTAACTTTTGTGTGGTGACATGACATTTTCAAACTACTGCATTCTTAAGAGAATGACTTTAAGTTTGGAAAAGATCTTATAAAAATATGAAGTCCAAGACAAATAACCTTCTGCAACTTAGTCTCAGTGTCCATTCTACCTCTCATGTGCAAGTTTTCTTCTATGTCATGAAAAAGGCAAAATTGGTTTTTATCTTCCTAAAGCCTAGTGGTCAGGCAGTATCCAAGCCCCTTCCCCGATTCAGAATTCCTTCTTTGTTCATGCCTGTGAGAGCGTGTGGACGGGTTTCACCACATCACAGTCATGACAAATCCAGGGGACAAACAAGCAGAGAAGAAAAGAGGGTGGGAAGGATATTAATACCCTCTCGGGGACAATAAAGTGTATGAAATGCTATGAAATTTACCAATAGCTGGCTACAAGCCAAAGAAAATCCTTCCTTTTTAGTTTTAGTGGTTCAAGATTAACAGGTCAAGAGTTTATTCTTCAAGGCATAGGGTCCCACCTTCTTGATGCGTCCCCAAACAGCCCTACCTGGGATTAAGATACGATTCTTCCTTGTGTGATTTATCAGGAGGCTTGTCTTCCTCATTGAAAAGCAAAAGCTTGTATTTCACTGGAAAACATTGAGTAACGGAAATTTTCCTAATGATCCGAGGTTAGGGAATACGGGAGCACCTGTGGTGTTTTCAGAGTTAAAGCAGCAGAAGCTATGTATGAGCCGAATCAGCTGAAACATACATTAAATATATGCCAGTGATGTTCAAGTTCTCTAAATCACTGGCTCTTCAACCCCCTTTTACATTAGAACACCCAGGAGCTTTGAAAACCTCCAGTGCCTATGATGTACCCCAGACCAAATAAATCATAATCTCAGGAGGCACGATCCAGAGATCGGTGCTGTTTAAAATCCCCCAAGTCACTCCACCACACAGTCACGTCTGAGAATCTGCACACTAAACAGAGAGCTTGTAAATGTCTGCAGGTGCGCAGCTCTGTGCTTTGAGCATTTCAACCACCAGGGTCCACTTATTCTTTCCTTTCACAAACACATGATTATTCAGCAGCATCTCCCCAATAAAAACCACGGATAAGACTTGCAAAATTAAACAACAAACAAAAATTCAACCAGGCCAATTTAAGAAATAAACTGGAAGAAAGTTGGACCAGTCATTACCTGAGGAAGAGTTCTCATAGTGCTGACTTTATAATTGACAAAAATTCCTGGGAACATCAGGCTTCATTCTCTCTTTTCAAGTAAAAAGGAGAACATTGACAGAGCTCAATTTTCTGAAAGATGATCTGAAAGCGGAAACCCACATGAGACACCAGTAAGAATTTTGGCTTTTTAGCCTTACCTTTCAGTATGTGAACTCTATGTACTATAAACAAATTCGGAAGGAGATCGAGAGTTTATACTTCAACCGAGATGAAGCAGTTTACCAAAGAAAAACCTCCAGTGACACTGAGTAATGCATCAGTTCCTAATTAATTCTACCATATGCACTCAGATATATCAGAAAAGTAGAATCTGAGTATCTTCAAGTTCTTGCTCATGTCAGAGACGTACCAATTACTTTTAGCATAAACCTAACTTAGGGACCGTAGACTTCCAATGATTTTGTATTTTATCCTCCACTGAAGTTTTACTCTGCACAGATCAGAGTACTTTCTGCCTTTACCATTTAAAATCTTGGAAAGAAAGAGGGATCCGTGTAATTTTCTATAATTTAGAATCCATGCCCTCAACACATATTTATTAAGCACATATTTTCTGTCAGCTCAGCTCTGTTTTAGGAGCTGGGTACACATCAGGAAACAGAAGAAAGATGAAGTCCTTTGAGCTTACAATCAAGCAGAGGGAGGCACACAGTATATATATAAAACATAATTTAAACTCTTACAAAAGCTTTTAAAAAGTAATTGAAAACCAATGTCATATTAAATTGTAATAAGTAAGGAAGGTGCTATAATAAGCTGGACGTATTTTATTTTAGTGAATGCTTCATTTGCAAATGTTACAACTTAGACATCTCTGATTATTTAAATTTCATCTTCTATAGGAATGATTATCCAGTTCTAATGCTTAGGGCATTTTTTCCCCCATATTTTGAAGCCCAAGGCTAATTATAAAGCTGGGATTTAAGCCATCAGTGCATCCTGCAAGGCTAAAGTGGGCAAAGTAGCCTCAAAAATCACCCATCTCAGTTCCAGTCTGTAAATCCTGGCTGTGGGGAATCTCCAGAGGAGTGCAATTCCAGTTCTCCAGCACATGTGCTGAGGCTAGTGGAGTAGCCCCTGCCAGTTCCTTCCTCCTCTGACCCTTTGAAATGCAGATCATCTGGACAGCAAACTCTCACATCTGTTGTTGTTGACAAACATCAGAAGATGTTGTCCTATCCCAGGGCTGCTATTTATTATTTCTCTGTAGACCTTAGTAACTCAATCTGAAAATGGAAAAACACCTAACTAGCCCACAGTAAGGCATTGAGTCTAAAGAAAGATAATATACCTAAAAGTGCTTTATAAACTGTAGTGGGAAAATGCAGTTCTTCCTAATTTTACAAATATCTTGAGGATCTTCTAAATTCAACAAATATATATGATTCTTCTGTGCATTCACTCAGAGTGCAAGAGATAAAAAAAAAAAAAAAGACCCCAAGAGCTAAATCTAAAAGCCTTTACTCATCTATCTCATTTATTAATTCAACAAATACTGAATACCTATTAAGTATGAGGCACTTTTGTAAGATGCTAGGAAAAGAGCTGTGAGCAAGATAATCAAGGTAACAATCTTCATGGAGCTTACAGCCTAATAAGTAGGAAGATAAATAAATGCCTTCATTAAGATGGAAAGTGCTGTGATCATTTAAATGAGGCATATATCATATGTTGATGGACCCAGGCAGTAGCTCATAAAGTAGACAGTACTTGAATCAAGCCTGAAAAATTTTAAAACAACAACATAAATTCTCATGAAGGAGGAGGGTACAACTAGGGTAGGGAAGAGTTTAGATCATGCTCCCGGAAACAGTGAATAGTCCAGTTTTCTGGGGGTAGGCCACACCAAGGGAGATACTTGCAGAAAGTTTGAAAAGTTGTGTTGACGCCCCAACAAGGACAGCTTTATGTGGATAGGCAAGAAGTCTGAATTCAGCAGGCAATGGGGAAAGCAATGCAAGATGTTGAGTAAAGGAGTGGGTGGTTGACAGGTGTGTTTTAAGACTGATCCAACCAGAAAGGATTAGGGTGGAAAAGACTAAAAGGTATGAAACCCATTGGGAAACCATTGCTATTATTAAATATCTTTCACAATGTCATTGTGATTCATACAAATACTAATGAAACATGCCTCCAGGCAGGTATGCAAAGGTAAAACATTTAGCATGGGTGTGCAAAAAAAACAAAGGTAACTAGCCAGTCTCCCATCCCCATGTACCTCCCCCCATATAAATATTATTTTCTCCAAAGTCATGAATATAAATCT